TCAAGATGTTTCCAAAATTGTTGGTCAGTATACCGATGATGTAAAAAGTGCATCAATGATCATTAATAGCTATCTTCGCAAGAGTGAGTTTATTGTATTTGACCTTAATAGAGCAGAGGACAATCCACTTGCAATCCGGTTGAGGTTCGATACTCCATTAGATTTGCAGAAAGAAATAGAGTTACATCAGAAGCGTAAAACAAAAAATGCATTACCTACGGAGCCCACGAATTCTGAACCTGAAAAATCAAAATGAAAAGTCTATAGTGTTATAGTATGTACTTCATAGATTTTTATTCACTTCGTGCATACCCAATTGTGATGAGTCAGAGACTCGTGGCTTATTGTGAAACAATGGCCTGCCACTCTCAAGAATAGCATTAGGAAAACGGTGGACAACTACCTATCTACAAAAAATATTATATTAATAAATTGATTTTATTTATGTTTCAAGTTCTAAATGACGCTCTTGAAATCTATTCCGTAATTGGTTTTTCTTTCTACCTATCCAATCGTATGGAATAATATATTCCTGATATCTACTAATTTCAAATTCAGCAATATATGGAAGTCTATTATATTTTTTTATATACTCGCCATATTCCTTATTAAGACGCATTTTAATTTGATCTAGGGAGATTGGGTTTTTCACTTTGCGAAGAGTTAAACCCAGAAATTTTTTCTCATTGAGAGTGTTATTATTTGCCAAACTGTTCCAAGCAATTTGTGTATTTGATGGTTCCCTTTCTTTGAATCGGTGAAATATTCTTTGTATAATCCGAGCACACCCAAAATCAGTTTTTGGTTTATCACATTCATGATCCCAATGTTCCATCATCGAATCGCTAGATTCAAGAATTTTTATATATCTACCTCTTGAGAAGTGATGTATCTTTCTAGGTTTTACATTAACATTAACATGAATTACTTTCCAACATCCAAAGCAGGATCCGAAGTCATTGATTCAAGATATTACAATAGAAGGGGCAGTATGCGCTGGCGAGGCTTTAGTTAATAATAAGTATCAAATTCCTCCTATTATTAAAATTGTCATTATTACAATAATAGTGATATTAATTATTTGGTATATATACAGTAATATTTTTCATCAAACCCCGCCTTCTCGTTCTTTGAACTCGAAGCCAGATTATACTCATTATATGACTGCCTCTGGCAATTTGTTTTCTGAAATATATAAACCAACTATGAACGAACAAAGTGAAGTGAATTATCAGGGAAAAGAAATTTTTTATCCAATTTATAAAAAAGAGAGTTATGGATTCCCAATTCGTCATGCAGAAAAACTCAAAGACAGGATTACCTCCAATGAAACTTTTCCTTATGGATATTGATGAGGCTACAAAGCATACTTCATCACGCTTATTGGACATCCAGCAATGTCATGGCCATTCGCTAAGCTAGTTACAGGAAAAAGTGGCACAGGTAAGACTAATATACTCAGAAATCTTGTTCTTGGTGACAAAGCTGAATATATATATAAAAAGAAAAAGGATGGATCTAGATATATACAGTGTGATGATTTGATAGTTTATGGATACTATCCTGATGAATCAAAATGGTCTTTTGTTAGATATATATATGGAATAATTGCAAGTAATCCAAGAGCATCATATTATGAAAATATTAGGTTTAGTTATATCTCATCTAAAAAAATTCCTAGTGTAAAATCTTTCTCCCCTAAAAGAAGTACTGTTATTATCTTTGAAGATTTATATGTTGCCCCGAGTCTATACAAAATCGAATTATTCTATTTTTCACACATGGATGTCATTGAAATATTTCACCTATATTTATCATGCAAAAATATTATTATGTTCCAATGATCATTTGTAAGAATCTTTCTCATATATTAATGTTCAACGGTGGTAGTTCTCCTCAAGACTGTGCCAAAATTGTAGGATGATATACTGATGATGTAAAAGGTGCATCAATAGTTATTAATAACTACCTTCGCAAGGGTGAGTTTATTGTATTTAATCTTAATAAAGCAGAGGATGATCCACTTGCAATTTGGTTAAGATTTGATACTCTACTAGATTTGCAGAAAGAGATAAAATTATGGCAAAAGTGCAAAATTAAAAATGCATTACCTGCAGAGCCCACGAATTCTAAACTTGAAAAGGCTATAGTGTTATAATATACACTTCATAGATTTTTATTTCACTTCATGCACTACCCAATTGTGATCTCAAGAATAGCATTAGGAAAATGGTAGACAACTACTTATCTATATCCTCAAAGGTAATTAGTAAAATTAGTATAGCCCAAAAATAATATATAAATAGTATGAGTATTTTTTTTTTTTTTTTTTTATAGTCAAGGTTAACCTCTTTGGCTTATCGCTTTTATTAGATATTAGGATCATGTAGTGCCCTTATCGAAGAGGCCCCAGACAAGTATATTCTGACAAAGATACATTCTAGCCATATCTGCACCTTTTGAGTGCCTAATTAGGTATACTACCTATGTGCTAGGTGCTACACTAGATGCTATACCTGTAACCCACTATTACTTGAGCTACCCAATTAAACCCTCTGATCTGAGTTTCCTATGTCAATCCATCTAACCT